TCTTATTTGTGGAAGGGCGAAATGGGCGTTGACTATTAGACGCCTTCATTATAGCCATCCTTGTCTATCACATGGATTTCTATGGCTTAATTTATCGCTCTCACGTAACTTCTGATAGACCATCGGTACTTTCCTACACTGTATATTATAAAAACATTTCCTAATTAGAAAACTTTAGAATACTAACCTAATTAAACTTCTTTTTTTTTTGTAAATTTGTGAGCACGTTATACATACTTTACATGATGATTGGACTTGCTTCTATTAAAATAATCTCTAACAAATCATCATCTGTTGAGATATATGTTAGCTGGATGAATGTAGTTCTACTAAACAACGTTTCGAGACATTATTATATCATAGTAAGTATTGACTTTGAATAGAGGTAAGCTGCCGTAAAAAATTAATAGTTATCAATTTCGCAAAAGGATGAAGTTTAATTGGATTAGAATACCTCGAGCACTTGGTTCTTCTAGCTGTAGTAGAATCCATTCTTCGTTAAGACAACCTGCAACAAGTATCTAGATACATTTTTTATTCAACAAATAGAATGTCAGAATACACAATTTTATGAAAATATTTACTAACAAAAAATATAATGAAAATGAAGTTTAAGGTATTTTTTTTTATTTTAAGCGACCTTTATCTTATTATTATTATATTCAAAACACGAAATGTAATAAAATATAAGGCCATAACTTTTAAAGAAAGTAAAATTAATCTCGGGCGACTAAATCCGTATATTTTCAGATGTTACGTATAAAACAGTACTTTCCCGATTAAGGTTTATAGATAGGAGTATTATTCTTTTCTTACTTATTTTTACCTTCAATTTGTAGATTTCCTCGCAAGACATCATGTCGACAAGATGGGTGAATTTTTTTTTTTTAATTTTAAATCTAGTATTTTTAAATAGTCAAATTTTATTATGGGGATTAATACTGTTTTTAGTTATTGATTCGTAAACGATGATTTTTTGATGACTCATCGTGAAATTTAATACAGTTCCTGAAATAAATTAACAATTAAAAAAAATCATTCATTAAAATACGGTAGAAATCAAATTACTGAAATCACGCCAACTCAGCAGTTTTTGTGAATTAATTTATTTCAAGGTAATTTTCACTGCCGAGAAGATGTTAACTTCATTAGCAAATTCACGGCAAACAAAAAATAAATTTTATTTACAATTCATTGTAAACAAATGCTGACACATTATTTCTGTTCTCTTGAAATATACGGGGTAGCCCTAAATAATTGTATCACGATATTTTTATGATATATAAATATTTTAAAAAGTCTTTCGCGGTATCTGTTAGAATGTTGTTCAAGGCGTAATTTTAGAATATGACCATCACCATTTCATCCTCAACTTTTTTTAAATTTTTATCTCTAAAATTTCTTTTTTAAACATTGATCTCTAGACTATCAAGGAATAAATCGAACTGTTTTCGAAAAATACAGGTAAACATGAGGATCATTTGTAGAAATACAACGCCTTATGCGAATATAAAATATTTTTAGACGATAACATAACTAAACTACATACTTGTTCGGAATATTCGTTATAGTCCAAATCATATGCGATCGTTGTTGAGAAATTTATTATTAGCAGTACCTTATTAGAGCACTTTTTTATATGTAATAGTATAGAAATTAATTTTTGAAAATTAAAAAAAATATGAAATAAAAATAAGCAAACTGCGAGATGAAAATAGTGGTGGACATTTGGTAAAACTACGTATATTTTGGGATTTGAATAATCTACATACATACCGATGGTCTACAGTGTAGGAAAGTACCGATGGTCTATCAGAAGTTACGTGAGAGCGATAAAGTAAGCCATAGAAATCCATGTGATAGACAAGGATGGCTATAATGAAGGCGTCTAATAGAGTCAACGCCCATTTCGCCCTTCCACAAATAAGAAGTGGATCTTATTTGTGGAAGGGCGAAATGGGCGTTGACTATTAGACGCCTTCACTATACCCATCCTTGTCTATCACATGGATTTCCATGTCTTACTTTATCGCTCTTACGTAACTTCAGATAGACCATCGGTACTTTCCTACCCTGTATATTAGTATACCTAGGTACCCTAAAGTGTAAGTTTAAAATATGAAAGATATATCAAAAGACTTAAGATATATTTACCTCTTTTATTATCCCTTAATATGATTTTTAATAATAAAATATTTTTGTTCATTTATTGTTTACAACTTATAATATTTATAGATTCAACATTCAACTATCTGATTTACTTAGAACAGTACGTAGAATTTTTTGAGGTTGTCACAGTGTCACGCTGTACCAAATTCTTATATGTATTTGTTTCCAGAACTGTTTGTTTCGATCTCCATTCTTTAAATCAGCAGTTCTATACCGATCCAAAATTTAAAATTATTTTATACAAATCATTCTTCGT